AGGGAAGCAGCTTCCCGCGGCTGTATGCGCAGCCCGGGTACCTGAAAAGGGAAGCGGCTGTGCCTGTCTCCGGCCCCCATCCACCCCCAAGCCGATGGCGCAGCAAGGTGCAGGCCGCGAGGCTGTCCGAGCGTGGGGTTCCTCCTCTTCCCAAGCACCAGCGGGCAGTCGGACAACTTGGCCTCTCTTTCCTGAACACAGCCTGTTTGCATCTGCCCTTAGTAAGGGTGTACGTGAGGAGATGTCTGTTTCACAAGTGCACAGTGTGCAATGTTTGTAGAAAGGCTGTTCAAGTCAGAAAAACAGAACTTGATCTGTAAGTGGAAGCAATTATAAATAATGAAGGAGGCAACTCCCCTATGCGGGATGCGCATAGCTTGTAAATGTACGTGTGTGTGCGTTACAAGATTGAATTTTGTCTTCTTCTCTTGATCAATTAAATTTGCTTCTGCTTAGATGGGGTCTGTGTGCAGGTGTTACAAGGTTAACTAAAAATGCTGCTCTATGCCAGCTTCATTCAACTCTGATTTTGAACTCCGTTTACATAGAACTTGACCTTGTTTGTATATTGCTCCTGACGCTCAGCAATGATGGGCAGCACCTCCCCGCTCTTTCCCAAACTGATACAAAGGTTTGCCAGCACTACAAATCGTGATACTATTAAACCATGATATTTTGGTAGTCTGTTAGCGTTGGTTGACCTAGAGCTACATAGCAGGACAAGAGTTTCTCTGCCTCTCTTGTTCCCCTACCACCACCTCTTTACAAAACTGATCATACTGGGAAGTTTGCTTCCTCCTTTCCCACCTTGCTGGGATAAAGGCTCTCTTCCTGCATGTTGCCTCTTTCTAAGAGGCATGCATCTCACAGTGTTTGGGCCTTTCCTGGAAGGGAGGAAGACGGCCATCATTCTGGGGGGAAGGATGAGCTTCCCCAGTCCATTCCCTTTCCCGTGCTGAAGAGAAGAGGCTGTGCAACCATTGGTGCTGCAGCTGTAAAGAGGGAGGCAAAATGTAGTGATAGTAACCTTGTACCCTGCTCTGTGCTGTGCAAGGACACCACAAGCATACTGGCATTTATTTTATGTACTTTTAAACCTTTTTTCATGTAGCACCAAATACAAGTAGCCCCTATCTGCCTCATTCCACAGCATCTTCTCAGTTCTGCTATACTGATTTGTGTTAGAAAGGATTTACTTTTATCCGGGTTAGTTCCCTGATCCAGGTACCGTGCAAAGGGCTGTATAATGCTACAACTGAGGGAACGAATGACTGGTAGTAGGGGCTACTTGCGCTGCCTCTCTTGCAGCCATATAACAGTTATATGGCCATAACTGTAGTATCACTTGTGTATACTTAGACCTGTGATATTGTTCTAAAATAGTACCTGGACTATATAGTACCTAGACCTCATTTATTACTATTAGTAAGCTTTAAATTAGTGTAGGTATCCATGCAAGTATTACTGGTGTAACTGAAGTGATGTTTGGAATTTGATTTCAGGCAGTGCAGTTTTTGTGGACGTGCCAGGTGTCAAAGCTGATGTGTGTGCAAAACTTGCGCTGAAACAAACAGACTTGTAGATTAGCGCAAATGATTTTTTTGATGCAAAGCTCCTATGGATACACTTCAGAGTACCTAATGAAACTGCATTACTTGTTGTTGCAGTCATTGAGCTAGGTTGATGAAATTCAATTTTCTACCTCACAGTGTAGTTTTGAGATGCAAACTTAGTTGTAACAGTGTTATTCTGGAAAATACTCTGCTTTATTTGAACCCAGTCTTTTAAGAAGACTGCACTCGTTGTGGCTAATAATGCAGTGTTGCATGTACAGTGCACATTCTGACAGGGTTGAGATTCTTCTGTCATTGAAGCATTGGAATAGTTTTGTACTGAAATTTTATCTGCTCTGTGGTCTTTGGTTTAGGAGGCTTTTAAAATGCAGGAAAAAATTGTGAGAGAAAATCAGATTGGAGAGTTTATGAGAGAAGTGTTGCAAAGACAGCTTTTATAACTGAATTTTCTAACCTGAGTATTAGCTAGTCTTAAAAGTTACCCTGATAAACTCTTTGAGTAACCAGTCTTTGCACTAACAAATTGGTTTAAATTCAATTAGCCTTATTTCTCCCCAGTAAAGCTGACAGATAGAAATCTTTCAAGAGAAAACTTGCAACCTGACATGATTCATTTCTGTTCTCTACTACTTCTGCATAAGACTGAGGATTTGAAGCAGTAGTGAAAACTGCCAAGAACTGGACTACTTAGCCGTTAATGAGGTTATACAGTTTTACTAAGATAGCTCAGCAGGAAGCAGTGCACCTGGCTACAGCGTTTTAGGCTGACCAGTGCTGTGCACCAGCTACTCTCCAAATGTAGGCAGACTCATCAGAAATACTGGGCCTTGTTTGGGACCATGGTTGGGTCTCCTCAAAATGTGGTGGTGCAGATGTGGATCAGAATCCCTTGTTTAGTAGCCATGGTTTAAAAGAAGCCTTTAAACTCAATATGCCCAGTCAGTAATTGCTTCATGTTTATTTTTCAGATCTGTACTGGTAAAAAGCAGAATAACAACCCCACCCCACCCTAAACCCCATTTAGGCAGAACTGCTTGAAGTTGTGTTTCACATTGCTGCTGCTGAAGCACCCATGGGGAGCCACAGTAATATAGGCTTGCCTCTTTAATTTTATTCTTCTAGGCAAGGAGATCACCTGGGACAGCCGTACTGGTGAACATATCTCCAGGATATGCAAGACTGATGAGTCTTGTGGTTTTTAGGGGAACACCCCAATGGGAACTTGTCAGTCACACTGGCCTCCTCTCATTTGAATGCATACAGATAAAAACTAGACATACACAGTTTATTTCCACAGTTAGTTTTGCAATGAATTAATTATTTATTTGGTATCTCTTAAAAAGTAGCACAAAAAAATTTAGCTCTCATGCGTCTCGGATAAAAGAAAGGTAACTTTATTATTACATTATGACATACTTTTCTGTCAAACCAATTGAATTCACTGTCTGTTTTAGTCCAGTAGTTTCTAACAAGATTACCTTTTCTTCAGAAGAGTAGGATGCCCAAAGAAGATTGGAGGATATATAATGCTGAAGATTGAAGAAGATTGTACATAGCTGTCAAATTTCCTTTGTTGCTTAGGGCTGTGTAGTTTAGTCACTGGGAAGTAGATTGTCACTATGGGAAATTAAAATTTACTACCCAAATACAAACCTTTAGTCAAAAAACTCTAGGTGGCTTGTGTGCTATTATAGTTACACTATTTTCTGAAAAAACCCTTAACACAAACATGTAGCAATAAAAAATGGAAAAAAAAAAAGCTGCTATTTCCTGAGGATTGAGGCGCAACTTGCAGCAAGAGAATAGAATGTACTGTGTTAACATATGGAGGCAGTTTTAGAATATGGAGCTGCTGCATCACCACAATATTTTTGAGGGAAAAATAGTGTTTTTGTGGATGCTACTTTGAGTCAAACAGAAACAAAATCATTAAAATAATTGTTTATTCTCATTTGTCTGTTAATTTAATGAACTCCTACCTTGCGTTAGCAAAGATAGTAGCAGTTGACTGTCATCAGTTTATTTTAGATGTTTAAACTAGTTTGGCTGAAGGAGAGTAAAAAAGGTAATAGCTTGTTAAGGTGACTGTAATTAGATAAGTTTTTTTTTTTTAGCTTCAAATGACAGTTTAGTTCCTCTTTATAGCACATTAAATGTACAGGGGCATAGAGCCGTGGTATTCATTTTCTGAATTACTGTTTATGAAGAGGTAACTGGATATCTCATGAGAACTGCTGAGCCAAAAAAATTGTAATTTACATGTTGTATTCTGGGCCTTAACAGTTCAGGGACCTTGATTAAAATAGTGGAAGAAGCTGGGACACACAGGTTAATTTCATATATTTTATTTTTCAAGTCCACATTCCATAAGCAGGATATAATTAAGTGTTTCCTTATATCAGTCCATAAAAAATAATATTATTGCATATGGTGTTTGTAGAGCAGCTCACTTACTGCGGTATATGTTCACTAGTCAGCAGTTTCTAGTTTAAATACTGGAATGAATAAAGAGTTGCTATTGATTTAAAATTAATTATTCTCCGAATATTTTCCACTGAAAAGTAACGTTTATAACTATAAAAATGAAAATAAAGCTTGGTTCTAAAGTCAGTTTATTTTGCTGTGTTGTAGTATTTAACTAATGTTACTATGTAAAAGATCTAATGAGAATTGTAATCATTTTTATCTGTTGCCTATATAAATGTAAGACTAAAAAGAAGTCAGTAATGAGGCCTGGGTGATCTAACGCTTGAATCTACTTCAGGATTTTTTCAATAGATGCTTTTCAGCTTAGATATAAGTATCTGCAGTCAAAATTTCAGCGCTCACAAAGTACTGCATTCGTATTGTAGGAGTACATGTAAAATAGCTGAGTGCTGAAAATTTATGCCTTAAAGCTCAAGTAGATGAAAGCGTATAAAATCTCATTGTGGAAGAAAGTTTCTCAGTCTACCCCTGTCTGTTTGCAGAATCAATATTGTTATATGCCGGTGAAGTGTAAAGAGTCTAAATTTTAACAGGAAACAACACTTCTGATTCTAGAAAATTGCTTTAAGCTTAGTATAGTAAATAAATTACAAGTATCACATATTTTGTTAATGCTTACAAATAACGTCTTCTATTGGTTTTAGACCCATAGGGCTCTGATAATCCAAATAAGTGGGGAACTGGTAAGAGAAAAGGACCCTGAAATACTTCTCATTGACCATATTCTTACAGAGCCTATAAACAGTACTATTTTCTTAAAAATACTTACTTTACCTGTAGTTCCCTGTAATGATCAAGAACTAACCAGGTGAACTCTATGATGAGGAAAGGAACAGCTATCACCTGAGCGGAAGATAGTCCTAAGCCACTCCCTTTATCTGCTATATATTTAGGCCAGATTAGTACCTTCTTTCTGTAAAATGGCTGCTACCCCTAGAGGTTGTGATACCAAACAGGTATGGATTTTCTCAAATTGTTTTTTAATAAAACTGATTTTTTTTAAACAGAAGTTGGGTATGCATTTATATGTCAAACAATATCTCTTCTATTGAAGCTTCAGCTGTTAGTTTTACTTATATAGAAAGTGTTTTCTTCTGTGATTGTTGTGTTATCATAAGATAATAAAATAAAGTTATAAAATAGACCTTTTGCAGTTCTCCTTATTAGGTTGTTATATAACTCTTCTCTTTGCATTTTTTTTAAACAGAAGTTGGGTATGCATTTATATGTCAAACAATATCTCTTCTATTGAAGCTTCAGCTGTTAGTTTTACTTATATAGAAAGTGTTTTCTTCTGTGATTGTTGTGTTATCATAAGATAATAAAATAAAGTTATAAAATAGACCTTTTGCAGTTCTCCTTATTAGGTTGTTATATAACTCTTCTCTTTGCTTAAATTTTAATCTTTCTTATTGGCTAGTTCATGATGAGTGATGGTTACTGTTCTAAATTTGTAAGAAGGTGGAGAATGCCATATGTCCTATTACTTGACTGCTTTCTAGCTCTTCTTAGTGCTTCTTAGCTTCTAGTGCTTCGAGCCCCCCCCCCCCAAAATGGATGATGCTTTATATGCGAATTAGTCATTTTAACTGTAAAAGTATTTTGGGCTAGGCTTATGCGGGGAGAAAGGGAAGAAAAAAAAAAAAACTTTGACCCTAGATCTGTTTCAAGTAGCTCTATTTCGTTGTTGATGGAAGTTTGTTTTAAAGTGTGTATTGGTAAAGATGTGTGATTAAGGGGAAAAATAAACACTTAATCATTAAAGGACAAGAGAAAGGTTGCATGATGTCTGACTTCTGCTGACCACCTACATTTAACTAGTTGGTCTTTGTTGTCTAGGCTTTAAACAAAATGTCCAGATCAACAAATACTGTAACAGAAGAGTTGCTGAGGAAGTAAATTGCTGTTTTAAGTATAATGCTGTTCTGTAGTGTCATACTTATA